TGTGATACTTACACAACACCATGCACAGTTTCTTGAACCACTGCTGACGCTTTTCCAATGAAGTCTGTAATAATTTTGAGTAATCCAATCCTTGGCAAAAAATACTGCCTGAAGAAGTTATGAGTACCCATTACATGATGAGTCTTTTGATAATTCTTTAAAACTTCACACAATTCTTGAACAACCTTAAACATAAGATCATAATTTGAATCACACACTATGAATCATTCAAAAGATAATGATGTTTATCAGATTTTTATCACTCTTTCCACTCGGCCGCATTCTGTAAAATTTTATAATTGAACCAGTTGCCGTAAGATTTTAATGGTTTAGGACCAAGTACTCGCTTCTGCTTTATAAGTACCATCGTCTAATTTTAATTTTAACAAAACGTCAAAAAAAAAAAACTACTCATTTTCTCAAACTTTGATGATTTGTAAAATTAAACTATTGTAAGGCCGTAATATTTTAGTAAGTTCTATAAGACCATGATATATATCGCCAAAACAAAAAATTTTCAACAGTTAATTACAAGTGAACGGCTCGGTAGATTTTCATCTAAAATTAATCAGTATCATTCCCAACTAATATATTTCGTACAGTTTTTGATTTTAGAAAGATTCGATAGTATGAGCTTAAATGTGGACGAAAAGTGTAACACTTTTTTCAAATCACAAAGAAACGGCTTTGCAGATCGTCGCACAAAACTGACAAACGATAGTCCTTATTGAGATACATCAAATGGCTTTTAAATTACTGAAATCGGTTTAGACGTTTTTGAGAAAACGATTCTTCAAAGTTTCAAAAATTAGAACTTTGAAGAATTCTTAAAATTAAACGACTTGTCGTACGGCCGTAATATTTTAGTATAATCTATATGATTATGGTATCTACCGTCAAAAAAATCATAAAAATCGTCGAAAATTTTTTTTAACACTTTATTACAAAATAGCGTTCCGGCCAATCTTTACCAAAAACTAATAAGCACGATTCCCAACCAATATCTTTCAAACGGTTATTGAATTTTCAGAATAGATTCAGAAATGCGGGATAAAACGTGAACGACATTTTTTCACTTTTCTGCGATTTACAAAGAAACGGCTTGGCTGATCGTCGCGCAAAATTGATAAACGCTAGTCCTCATCGAGATACATCGAATGGCTTTTGAATTTTTGAAATCGGTCCAGCCGTTTTCGAGAAAACGTCGATTTACGACAAAAAATCTGTTCAAATACATACACACACACATACTTTTTCCAAATTTGGTCTCATTCGATTCAGAATGGCTTTAAACGTCGAGAAAACAAAATTAGCGAATCGGATTTTTTGATAAAAACAAACTTCCTCAGGAAATTAATAATGCATTATGATTAATTTATTGATGGAATAAACTTAATAAAATAAATAAAATTCTACTTGAGATATGCTAGGCGAGCCGCCAAAAATATTTAAAGAACCGCATTAAGTTTGCTCAATCTTGATGAAGTGTATTTGACGATACAATAAGAACTGAGTCATTGTTTAAAGACAGCCGAGTGAAAAGGGTTTTAATGTTTTTATTTACATTTTACGTACCTGATTACTCAATGAATTTTTGAATTTGGTCGAAGTTGGTGTTAAAATAATTTGAACTAGCGTTTCATGTTTACGAATGCTAATTTCTTCGTAAGTCTTCTGTTCTTTGGAAACTTGAGTTTTCTCACTCTCAATTGCAGAAGTTTTTCTAAGCTTTTTAGATATAGCGGCATTTTTAACAGCTTCATCTTTTAAACTGGTGTCATCCTCCGTGATTGCAGGTTTCTCAGTGGCGTCTGCAACTTCCGAAACGCGATCAGGCGGGTCTTCCTGCGATTTATTTTCATCAAGATTCGAATCACTGATAACCTTTTTGTTAGACCTGGTACTCATGGTTTTACCGACTTTTTCTTCCTCTTTAGGACTAGTGGTAGTTTTTGTTTCTTCTGTGATATTTGCGACTTGTTCAGGATTTGTACTTTTAGTTTTACCTTTGTAGGATTTTTCGCTTTCTGCGGGTCTCGAGTAAATTGGAACACCACCTTTTTGGCGCTTTTTCAAAGGTTTTGATAATTCTGACTCTGCAGTAACTTCAATTAGTTTTTCTTCTGCGTTTGGTCCAGTTTTACCATCAACACTAAGTCTCCTGGGACTCGTGCATGTACTGGAAAAAGAGCTTGAAGAATGCCTTCTTATAATTCTAGACTCATTTACTGATGTAAATGAAAATTCAGCATTTTCCTCTACCAAAGAGGATTGCGTTGAGTTTCTTGTCTGATCACTCCTTTTCTTTAATGAAACCACTTTCCTCTTACCAACTGCAGATTTTTTAAATCGCAAGGGTTTCTTGTTTCGATTCGATGCTACAGCAGTCGAACTATGTCTGAGAACAGCTTGTTTGATGATATTAGCTTTAGAAAGTAAATTCCTGCGTTCTTTTTCAAGAGATATCAATAAGCGCTTATTTGGTTTGGTAACAATTTCGGGAACTTCAGCGTTATTATTTCTGCGCTCTACAGAATATATCATATTAACAGCTCCCTCATCACTTAGCAGTCTGTCTATTTCAGTAAGTTTTTTCTTCTTCGGTATAGTTGGACTGGGACTAGTAGATTTAGAAACAAGGCTTCTATTGGGGTTAATAGGTTTATGAGGAACTTTTCGAATCAATCTAGATCTTCTGCCAACTGCATTAGCTGGAGTCTGAGCTTCCTGCATCTCAACTTCTTGCGCATCTTCTTTCTTAACTTCCACTTCTGTTGATTGTTTCTCAACTTGTTTCTTAGTTCCAGTTGAGTTCACAACTGTTTTCTTAACAGCAATGTCTGCTGCTTTTTTCACATTGTTTGGAGAATTCTCAGAAGAACTTTTTTGAGGGTCTCGCTTAACAGTTTTTAAGGATGGTGATAAACTTGAAGATGTCATTGGATTATCTGGATCCCAAATAATTTTTTTCTTTATGACTCTAGCTATTTTATTGGGTACTATTCCCAGTTGTGGACTATTTGTTGATGGTGAATTTTTACGTTTTACTGTAACAGGCGGGTTAGATTTTGTTGCAGTTGTTTCAGAAGCTCTTGCAACAGTTGTACTTGAGGAATTGGCAGATGATGAAGATTTTGATGTAGGTGCTGACGTTTTCGTTGCAACTGTTGGTGCAGCTTTTATTGGTGTTGGAGTAGATTTTGAAACAGCAGTTGTAGATTTTACAGATGGTGATTTAGCAGTAGTATTTGGGATAGGTTTTGTGACAGCTGTTGATGTAGATTTCACATTAGAACTAGTGGCCGCAGTTGTACCTACTTTGTTCACTGTTTTCTCCTCAGTAGGTTGCGACTTTGTTTTGGTTGTTTCATTTGGTTCCACTTGCTTTTTAGTGCTTTCCGTGGGATTTGTCAAATTTGTTGTTGATGATTGATCTTTTGTTGTTGTTGTTGATTCTTTTTGACTATCTTTGGATTCCTCATCCCAATCAGAAACTAGTGTTTTAATAATATCATTAGCTTTTCTGTTACTATATGTTTTTGGAGGATCTTTTGATCGAGGAGTTGTATACACTGCCATACCAGCATTCTTCAGAAGCGTATGTTTAAGTGGATTGTAATCTGTTAATTTAGGCCTACCACGTGGCCTGCTTGAGCATATGTTAGGAACATTTGGCAAATTCAATAGTTGATGTTGCGCCAAGCGTCGTTTTTCTTCAGAATCTAGTTTTAAAAATGCTCTCGAAGTATTACTTCTTGCCTGGGCTTCTAAAACCGGGGGCGGGCTTCTACCACTATGTCCAGATATGATACTTTTCTCAATTGCTTGCAAAATAGGAGGAGCTTGATCTGTTTCCACAGGTTTCAATTCTGACCAATCTGGATCCTCATCGCCTTCTAAAATAGCTAAAAGATCGGCATTGTCTAATTTGGGTTTTGTTTTTGACAACAAATTCTTTTTAGCCAATCGAGTATTTGGTGAAGCTTTTGTTAAATTTTGATTGGGTTTAGGATTATTTGGAGAATTCTGTACATTTCCTGGATTTGTACAAAGTTTTTCAGCTAATCTCTTAGTTATTTTATGCTTGAATAAAATATCACCAACTTTGGGTTTATCATAAACTGGTACTTCGGCTTTTAATTTCTTATCAATTTCTTCACTTATTTCTTCTGATGATACAATACAACTTGTCAAACTTAAAGGTGGCACTTTTACACCAGGTCTAACCTTCGGAGGGTTTCTGCCATTACTTAAAACATCAGCTTCTGGATTTTTTAAGTTTCTACCAAGAACATGACAAGGCAACTTTGCAGTTGTATCACCCTTGGCATCAACTACTTCAATATAATTGCCAGTGGGCGCTCGTTTTCGGTTATTAGATTCTGTTTTGCATTTATCTTCTGATGTGTTATCAGAGTTTTTCATATTAGGATTTTCTACATGCACTTCTATAACCTGCATATTGTCATCTTCAATAACATAAATTTCAATATCTTCATTTTGATCATTAGTATTATTTTCAACTTCCATTTCTTCTATGACAACTGCAGTTGGCTCTTGTGAACTTTCATCAATCACTTCATAAGTGATAGCAGCCTGGTCCGAGGTTTCATCTCTTGATACATCTTTTTCATTAGCAGTATCTGAAACAATGTAACTAACAAAATTTTCAGAATTCACATGATGTGGAATGTCTTTGTCATTTCCAGCACTAGTTACAACATATTGTACCATGTTTTCTTGATTTGAACCTTCAGAAACAACATATTGTATATATTCAGGATGATTCCCACTTTCACCTTCAGCAACTGCATGAAAATGAGTCATTTTATCATCTGTATTATCGGCAACTACGTACTGAACATAACTCTGCTCATTTGGATCTCCATTTGCAGCTTCAGAAACAACATACTGTACTCCTTCTGGAAGAACATTCTCTGCACCATTATCATTTTCATATTCAACTTTAGCATGCTCTATTATTTGTTCGTTATCATTAGTTACAATATATTGAACAGTAGCTACATCTTCCTCAATAGTTGGATCGTGTGTTTGAATGTAATCAACTAAGTTTGTTTTGGAAATCGGGGTTTCTTTGCTATCAACAACAAATTCAATATTATCATCACTTATTTGTAACCTCTCAGAACTACTTTCGTTAAATCCAGATGTATTTGTTGACTCAATGTCTGCTTGTGAAACTTGTGGTTTTATTTCCTGATCATTAGACACTGTGTTATCATTAGGAGGAGGAACAAACTGCATAAAGTCTTCATTTGTTTGGGGATTCGATTCACTTTTCTCTTGAATTTTACTTTGATCAAATTGTTCAGAACTAACAATATTTACATTATGAGATGTTACTTCGATTAAGGGGCTTTCTTTATTAATATTTACTGCGCTTACATACTCTGCAAGCGTGTTCTGTACTTCAACTTCCTCTCTATTTTTTGTTTCAGCACAATCAGAATATTCCTGGGCTGAGGTATCTTCATGTTTTTCCATTATCAAATTTGGATTAGTTTCAGTAACTGGAAACATAAGTTGAACACTACTGGTATCTGAATTAAACATTTCGGGATCAGAATCTTTGGAAGCAAAACTATCGTTTAGAACTTCAGAAGTAATATTTTCAGAATTTGTATCAACTTGAGAACCATCTACTTGAGATGTATCAATCTCATTTGAGAATGTTTCAGCTTTCATCAGGTCATTTTCATCAGTGCATATTACATTATCATAATAATTGATTTCAGATCTGGAATTAATATTTCCATCATTACATGTTACTGCAGAAGTTGTTATGGCTTCATTGCTGGTAGTTTCATGATTAGAATGAAAAGTTACAGCTTGAGATGTAACATTTAAAGGTGCCACTTCTGGTATGATGCTTTCATTACTAGTTTCTACATTAGAATCTGTTATCATTGATTCATTTCCTAAACTTTTAGATTGGCAAGAGCTTTCAGTAATTAGAATTTCTTCTGAACTTGTATTTTCTGCATAGGAGTCAGTTACCATTGACTCATCTTCAGATAAAATTCTTTCTGTGCTAGTATTTTCTGCATACGATTCGGTAATCATTGATTCTGTTTCAATTTTTTCTCCAGAAACATTTTCAACATTTAAATTTAATACATCAGTATTAGAATCTGCAAATGATAGAGTATGATTAGTTTCTACTTCAGAAATACTTACAGTTTTTGTTTTGAAAGTACAACCTGGCTTCAAAGTTTCTGTTTCGGGTGTAATGCTCTCTGTATTTTGGATAAATTGTTTGTCAATCGCTGCATCAAGAGTCACAGACACTTGGGAGAAATCATCTGCATTTTTTGTCTCGCTGCCTTGTTCTTGAAAAGCTGCAGTTTCAGACTGAATCATTTTTGTATCAGATACAAAACTTTCATTTTCTGTTTTAATGCTTTCTGTTGCTACATTATCATCCACTTGAGAAGTGAGACATTCCTCATTAGATTCACCTTGTGAAATCAAAACTTCACTTTTGGGTTCCACCGAAGTAGAAACACTTTCAGAAACTAAGTTCACTTCTTGAACTGGTATTGATTCATCTTTAACTGATAAGAATTGGTTACTAAAATGAGTTTCTGCATTGCCACTTCTCGCAAATGCTTCATTTTGATAACGTAAGACTTGTTCATTTATGTCAGGTTGTAAAAACTTTCCCACTGACTCTGCATGCATGCTAGTAGTGAGATTATCACAAGCAGTTTTATCCTTATATAGTTCTTGTGAATTATCAACTTCATTTTCAAACTTCATATCTTTTATAGTAGAATTATGTACGTCATAAAATTCATCTTTCACTTTTGTCGTAGAGTCTCCTTCGCTTATTATAGGGATTGCATTGTAAGTTATAGGTGATTCTTGTGCAAAATTCGGAGTTGGCAGAGGAATTTGGGACACATCCTCAGGCAGAGGTATGTTTGCAACATCTGGTGGAATGACTTCAAACTGAACACTTGAAGAACAATCAATATCAACTTTCTTTTGAAAATTATCCTCCATGATTTTGTATATATTAGTTTATTTTATTCATATACTTTTCTTATTTATAACATTGTAACATCCTAATGTGCATATTAGATTGCAATTCCTTGATGCTAATTACCTGGGAATAATGATAAGATCACTGATGTGGCAAACTATTTTGGATTGATTAAAAATATAATATTTTCTATTCATATAATCAAATATCGTAAACGTTAAGTGATGGAACGTTATCAATGGCTCACAGAAGAAAAATAACAAATGTCTTACCGCTGGGTTATCTCACTGGGCATAAAAAATGTAATCATGTTATACTTGCTTTTCAGCTTTTCACTGTTATCAACACTATATTTTAACAAAGCACCAAGTGACAAATAATTAAAAATGTAATTGTAATTAAAACTGTGATATATTCGAATCACATTACAATAGTTAAATTACATAAAACAAGTTTACAAAGTTTATCACGAAATAGCGTTGTTCTATTTCACTTTGTTTGGTTAACAGTTCGCCGTGAAGTTGGCCATTGAAAACAGTAATTTGTGCGTAATGACGTGTTGCGTGTTGCATTCGATTCATGTGCATTATACGGGCGTTATTCATTACGGACATGTTCTAAATGTCTAATCATGTGCATAATCCATTATTATTTATATTTGTACCGTGTATAATTATTGATTTTGCATATTACTTATTTTATTTACAAAATAAAAATCAGGCACATTTGTAAAAATGTCAAAATTAAGTAGTTTACAGGTAATCTTAAATAATATCTTAATGCACTACGGCGCTTATGCATATCATATTACTTTATATACAACAACAAAAATTAGGCATATTTATGGTTGCTAAAAAGACATATTAAGTAATTTAGAGGTAACCTCAATTAATATTATGCAGTATGTTTGCATAATGCATTATGTATACATAATTATTAAGCTTTAATTATATTAAGCATTAATGCTTAATTTATAAACAATTAAAAAATCAGACAGGTCATAATCTTTGCCAAAAAAGACAAAATAAAATAGTTTAGAGACAACCTTAACTAGTGGGGTGCATGGCATCGTGCCTTAAGGCAAATTGCTGGAACTTCCCGTACCGTAATTAAAAATCTTAGTACGAAACGCAAAAAACAATTACACAAAATGTGTACACATTATATAAATCTCTATAAAATATCTGATAATTTAACGTACATATGTCCAATAAACATTTTTGACCGCCAAATAACATTTTTTAAACTTATTTTTATTAAGAGTCCATAACCTCTGGACCTGCCTTCCCAAAAAATTTAATCAGTTTTTCATCTTGTCAATACAAGTAAAATGTTTTTTGAATTATTAAAATCGAACGCTCCGTTCTCTTAAAAACTGAGTTACCGTTTTTGGCACTTTTTGCCCCGCATCTTTAGTACGGCTAGACCTGCCTTTGCTAAAAACTAATCAACAAGTCTCCTTATAAATACGTATCAAATGTTTTTTTGAATTATTAAAATCGGTTTATCGGTGTTCCCGAAATCGTCGACGAAAATTTGTATCCGCACACACACACGCACACACACACACATATATACACACACCTACATCAATTTTTCTAAGGTATGCCAAAATATTCAGAAAACTTTAAATCGTAAAGATATATAAAAATTTTCATTTTCGAATTTTTTGCTTGAATAACTTATCCTTAGGGAAGTTAAAAATGCCTAAAAGGTATAAAAAAGTGAATAGTAGTAATGAAATGGTAACGAAATGGAAATCATTGATTTTGTGGTACTCTCACATCACCTTCATAATTCTTTCAAAATTCTTATAAGATATACATAAAAAAACTTGTAAGATTCCCTATAAGCGCAATCATTTAAAAAAGAATAATACTTTCGAAATTTTATTAAAAATTTTTAAAAGTCGTATTAATGTAAATAGATATGAAAGTTTTCTTCCGCATAAAATCAATCTGGCACTAGGATTCGATATTATTTTTTTTAAATATTGGGTTCCAAACCATCTATACAAAATTTACAACGTAACACATACGTTTTATAAAAAATTAAATATTTAAAATTTATACATTCACAAAATAATAATTATCTATTATTTTTGTTGAAGCTGTTAATAAATATGTTTAAAATTTTAATCAAATCATTGAGAAATAATTATTTAAATAATAAATAATTGTTTACAACTTTAGTTTCAGTTTTGTTGTTTTTTATAGTTAAAAATAGGCATAAAGTTATACAATTATAAATCCTGATATTTATTTTAATAACTTTCAACACCATTTTTTATAAAGGGAATAAAAAAGTTCCAATAATAAACATGATATGTTTACCATTGATATTATTATTATTTATTTATTTTCCCAACTATCTCAGCTCCATAATTCATATCTTTAATACTAGCCACAAGTGAATAAAAATTGATCAATTTTTTAAAATTTATTTCAAATATATCACAATATTTTGACTAATTCTTTTTCTTTCATATATTCAATTTATTTCCATCTTTTACCCTTATGAGAAACAACTTTTTTACCAGATATTTGTTTTCGTCTTCTGGCTCGTGGTGAATCATTGTTAGAATCCTCATCTGTCACCAAAGATTCTGCAAAACTCGACGATTGGACTAAATCTTCTTCGAAATTATTTTGTATGCTATAAGTTCGATTATTGGCATTGCTAGCTTCATTTCTTGATGTAATAGTCTCGTCGTCAGAAGCAGCAGTAGATGAATCTTCATGGTTTCTATTAGAAGTCATAAGACTGTCTTGCGATATAGCTGTATTAAAGTTTGTTTTATTATTTTCCAAATTATGGTTCTTATTCAAACTTCTTCCTGGTTGCATCGGAGGTTGATGAGGCTCACCAATGACTACTATTTCATTTACAGGTTCTTGACGAGTATTCTTAGGCTGTTTTTTCAGCTTCTGACTTTTCATTTCACTGAGAGTGTTCATAAACCTAGTGTCTATTAATCCATCAGGAGATTGTGGTTTAGAAATAGTCCTTTTTATTGGACTCAGAATATTGTCTATTTTCCTGATCAGAGCCGATAATTTGATTCCATCTTGACCAGCTCGGCTTGTGCTAGGTTTAATTAAATCATCATTTGATGTTTCATTATGCTTTTGATATATGGCATCAGACTCTGGTGATCTTTTGTGGGTTTTCTGTTTCTCTTCTGACTGCACTGGTTGATGATTTAATGATATTTCACTTGCATTACTGTTGAACTCTGATTCCTGGAAGATATAATGGAATTGGGGGAAAGGCAATTTTTAGTTTATACAGGGTAAATAATATAGAACAAATTTTATTTTTACTAAACATTCATTCTATGAATAGCACAATGCCAGATCTGAACTTAACGTGCGCCCAATATATTTTTAACCAGTCAAATTAAAAGGTTTTTATTTCTAGTTGAAGTGTGCTGTTAGATACTTGGTTATTTATCTTACAGCAGCATACTCTAAGATAATTTAATTGGAGTAAACGTGCTCTTTTTTAAAATGAATTGAATTTAGAACAATTTGTTATGATGTTGCCAACCATTTTTTGTTAATTTATAACATAAGAGATACCTTATATCTTTCTTTAAACAGTGTAAGTCCAATGACATTAGAATCAGCATTTCTATCATATTTGCACACGTAGACGCTGGTACTGAATCCATAAGCGCAAAATGCTGCTGCATGGCCCTTGATAAAAAAAAATATAATATCATGATATAATTATACATAAAATAATTATAGATATCAATATTTTATCAAGAGGTTACATAAAAAGGACTATAAGCATATATTACATCCAGTGTGCTACATATTGGGTAAAGTGATTTCCAACGATTTGTAAATTTATACAACTTTTGACATTTTTATAATGTACCTTAAAATTTGTTTTTATTAAACTAAGTTACCTTCGGATGATAATCTACAGCTGCCATGGCGGTGATAGGTTCATCATTCTCTTCTTGGTCTGCATGTTGCACTGGTATCCATGGAAATTTGTAAACTGCTATTCGATGGCCACTATCGGTGTCCCAGACGGTCACCAAACCATCCTCACTGCCACCTAGCACCAAATTGCCGCAAGGAGAGAAACAAGCCGATGTTTGGATTCTAGAAAGGTAGCAAACGTACTAGGTAAGGACAAATAATAGAAAGTGGCACTATATGTGAATAAAAGAAAGTTGATGTTTTTACTACTTTACCTAAAATTTGTAGCACCTTTCAGTAAACGGACAACGGTAGCTCTTTCAACATGTATAATCCGTAGAATATTATCTCGAACATGGACCAGAAGACGTTCTCCGGATGGATGCAAACAAAGACGGTTCACCACAGCATTGAGTTCCGGACACATATGTCTAGTTACAGTAATCAATATAGTTGAATAATGTAAAAATACTAATGGTATGCATTGTATAAATTAGAAAAAAAATGTAATAATACAAGATTGAGGGACCTATTCTGCCGCATGACAGACCAATGTTATGGCAAGGCTAATTCTTATGGCTTGTTTCTAATTCTAATTCGTTCTAAATATTGGCAAAAGCCATGTGGTTGCTGTGCAGTCAGACGATTTTTTCATGTAGTCAGATAGAAAACATAATCTAGAAACCCCACAAATGTCAAAAGAACGATGTTAAATAACAGGATCTTTTTGACTCAGGTTCATAACATATGAGTGACGTTGCAGTTTATGTGTACAACGCCTGAATGTACGGCAAATACATGACATTTTGGCAGAATTCAATATGGTTCAGTAGCATAATGTATAGAAGTTGGATAGTAACATGGCCTTGCCATAACATTTGTCTGTCATGCTACTAAAGTTCAAGTAGTAAGGTCAAGATAGCTAATTATAATAACTCATCATACAAAATATTAACAATGACTTATTTAACATTAGCGTGTAATATTTCAAAAATATCTTGCAATTGCGCTTATTGTGTAGTAAAAATTGCCAATAACTTATTTATTACATAGATGTTTACTCACCTGGTCCACTGCCAAAAGTCTTCAGAAGTTCTTGACCATTCGTTGATAATGCCTGCGCTATCACCGCTATACACAGTCCTGCTGTCCGATCCAAAACAAACTGCAGTGATGTATCCTGGTTTGGTTCCACAAACAGTTTTAAATGAAATGTTGTATAAAAATAATACTATTTTCAGCAATTAATTTACCTTTATGCTCATCTGGTAGTTCTTGATATAATTCATACGACGGCGGTTCAGAAAAAGACATAGGATCCAAAGCAAGTTGCCAAATTCGCACTATACGATCAAAGCAACCAGACACTGCCAGTCTTGAAGATACTGTCACGTCGCAGGCATATACAAACGAGGGATGTGATAGTAACTGTGATAAAAAATAATGTTAAAAATATTTTGCAACAATTCCTCAATTTTATTCTTATATCTATTACTACACACCTGAGATAAATTTCCTTCAATCATGTCCCATATGCAAACCGTTCTATCAGAAGATGCACTGAGTAGCTTCATGTCGTTGTGCGTCCAGCATATGTCGTACACCAGACCCTGATGGCCAGTTAGCTCAAAACGAAAAGTTCCTCCAGGAATATCGTATACCTAATAAAAAACATAAAAAAAACAAATTAAAAAAAAGCAATATGTTTTGCCTTCAGACGTAAAAAACTGATTTGAGGATTCATGATTTATACGCGACAAAGTTATTTGTTTGGAATGCAAATAAGAGAATTTGAAGTTGAATAACCAGTTGAATGACAAACATGATTGATATAAATACTTTAAAAAAATCTAGCAAAAATGGTTAAATATGTATTGTTGTAATAATTAATATTCCTATTTAATAAATACAGTATATAAATAGAATTAGAATAAATTTTATATTACAAAAGTTTCTTATAAAATCAATGATCTGCAAATTATTCATTACATGAGGGTAGGGGATAAAACTATTCGTTTTAAACTGGCATTGAAAAAAGTACGATTCTAAAAATATAATTTTATTACTTACATTTATATTGAAAGTATCAGCACATGCGCATGCCAATAAATCACCAGCATGGTTGAAGCGAATTGATAAACTGCCCTTGTCTAAGGTAGGCAATTTTACCAAACGACAATTAGGCAATTTACACACTTGACCCGAAATTCTGGACCAGGAATAAGTCTATAACATGATAGGAAATAGTTATTTCAGTAATGCTATGCTTTTAGATACAGTTTTGTACAAAGGATAGATATATAGATAGATTTCAGTAACGCTATGCATTCAGATACAGTTGATAAAGATAAATCTATTTTATTTTTAGTTAAAAAAATATATTATGCGATCTCAAACAAATTGAAGTTCAAAGTATATTGTTAAACAAGATTTGATTCTTCTTTGTTTTATTGTTAAAAATAACAATAACGACAATACTCAAATTTGTTTTTTTTGTGAAGTCAAGAATATTATTGAAGATTAGATTATTGGAAGAATTGGTCAATAAAATTTGCACCAGACAAAAAAGAATTTCTATGAAAAACTTTGAAACCAAGAAGATTTTCATATATTATATTACTTAAAAAAATGTAATAAATTTTTTCCTACCCTTGGTTCTTCCTTTGCAATTTTCTTGGTTCTTTCGTTTGTTAAATCATTATGACTTTTGCTCCGTTCCTGCTGTTTTTCTTCAGATGCTGGTTTTAAATCCGACTTTTTTCTACGTTTGCTTTTGACGGTAACATATAGTGTCCCTGGATATCTAAGAACAATTTTAACGTACACGTTTGTCAAAAATTATTATCATTTATATATAAATTTCATATTATATATAACTAAAATTGTGCTCGTTCCTAATCTTACTTTTTTCTTCTGGTTGATGACCACCAATCAAACACATGTATTCCTTCAGTTTCTCTAACATCAGTTTTAGGTTTATAGAGTTGCAATTGCAATTTGTTATGAGTATTATTCATTCCATTAACACCGATTGGTTTTAAAAATGCCCATGCCAAGCAATGTTCTACATCTATAAATAAATGCATTTCATTTATATTTACTTGCAAATAATAATTTAGCATGACTTACCTTGCGATCTTTTGAAACCAACTTTCATATCGAATATTTCAAAAAACAAAATTGTGTTTTTGTCTTCTATGGTATCATAATCTATAGGAAATACAAAAAGTTCTTCCCATTTTGGAGTAATCCTGAAAGTTGTATTAAAATAAATATGATATTATATAACTATAATTAATATTTTATAAATTTCTACTCACTCTTTACTCAAACAATTGAAATGCTGGGATTTCATAGGATCGTGTAAAGGTTTATTCATAGTTGTTTTATAAATTGATACTCTGACAAAAGGCCGCAATAAAAACCCTTTCGATAGTGATCGGCCTAACCAAGACATATTGTGAACGATGATACCTTAAAAATTGTGGGTTATACAATTTTGTATGAAATAAAATGTAAACAATATCATTTATATTTTACCTACAACTTTTTTGTAAGAGCGACCTTCAACAACTTCATCATCATCTTTTTCAGAATCCTTAGTTCCAAAATTTTTACCACTTTTTCGAATCGGAGTTGAATCGGCACCAAGAAGTTCCCGTTTTTTTCTACTTTTGCTTCGATGTTGAGGTCCAACACTTTTTGTCCTAGATCGAGAATTAAGTAGATCTTTGATATTTTCATCAGATTTTTCAAACAAATTTTCATGAGACGACGCCAAGGGTTGATTTTTGTTATCGCCTTTGCTGCTTGGAACATCCATTTGCTTTTGAGATCTGGATGATCTACTTTTAACTGATCTTTTACTCCTGGATTCATTTTTAGTTAGCTCGATTTTATTGTCATCAGACGAATTCTTTCTGCTATAAATTTGTCTTGTTTTTGGTACTGGTTTCTCTAATGGAAGCTCCATTGAATCGTTAACCATAAATGATTTTCGACGGGGAAGTGGTTTTGGTTTTTGAAGTTCATGCTCTTCCTCGGGTTCTGTGTCATGATTATCATCCACAAACGAGGCTGTAGGAATGTTGTTGGAATCTTTACGATTGATTTGAGATTGTTCATCTGAAGACGATTCATCATTGCTTTCGAAAGAACTACTATTATTTCTACTGTGTTTCAACACTGCTTTGTTGGACTTGGAGCGTGATGCAGAAATAATAGTAGACGGCTTTCTTGATGACGACGACTCAAAGAAGTCATTTGATTGAGATTTTTTGCTACTGTGAGATGGTGTTTTTGTAACGAATGATGTCTCATTGTCATCGGTTGTTCGACTCTTTGATTTCTTCTGTTTAAATAATTCAAGTGTCGGTATCTCTTGATCTGGTGATTCATCTATTAAATTTTGCTGGGATGAAAATGCATTAGGATCTGATTGATCGCGAGTACTAAAAAGAAATATAGTATCAAAATATAAAATAAAGCTTTTACAATATTTGCCTGATTGTTTTATTACCTGCGCTTTAGGGAAGAAGTGGTGATGCTGGCTTTGGCAGCATCAGATTTTCTAACAGCTGATCGTAAAACAGCATCAAATCTGGCTTTAGTTTGACTAAGGAGGCTTATGCTTTCTTTTTCTTTTTTAGGAGATGAAGACATTTCGTTTTCTCGCATTACCAAAATCTACAAAACTAGTGTAATACGGCGAATATAAATTTCTTCAGAATGTGAATTTGTAGTAAAAAGTTGATGATAAGTAAATTAATTATCAACGTTTTTATCAGAAACTTTATAAACTTTTATACACATTAATTTCTATATTTAATTTTTAACGTTTTTTAAAATTATGTAAATAATTGTATTTTTTAATACCAAGTTCTCTATTTTTATTTTCAAATTGCCAGACTACACTTGTCACAAAACATTTTGAGCATTGCACATATATTTATTATTTATACAAACTATTTTTTAATTAATGCTCTTATTAAAATATGACTTATTTAATTAACGGACTTATTATTTAATTAAAGGTCTTTTCTATTAAATTATTATAATTTATTTCAATATTTTCATTCGTCAGTATTTAATATTATGTCTTTTCGCTTAATTGCGCTTCACTCCACTTGGTTCGATATAAAATATTCCACGATACGTAACCTGTTCGTTGCTATGGAAACGGTTATTCAAAACTTAGAAAATGCATTAGAAATGCATGTGTAGATAAAAAAGTCGGTTAGAAGATAAAAGTAAATAACTAGTGGTGCATGGCATCCTGCCTTAAGGCAAATTGCAGAAACTTCCCGTACCAAAATAAAAAAATATTACATTTTTTAAAAGATTTTATTTTTTTAACTTTGAAAAAATTAGATTTTTGAGAAATTTAAAATTTTTGAAAAAAGCGTTTTTTTTATTTTGAAATATTTAGGAAATTTGGAACTTTTCCAAAGCAATCGCACAGCTTTAGCTGCATAAAGACGAAAGCGGATAAGACTAATCAGCATGTCTCCTTATCAATACAAATCGAATGTTTTTTTAATGATTCAAATCGGTTGATCGGTGTTCCCGAAATCGTCGATGAACATTTGTGTCCGCACACACACATACCCATTTTTTCTAAGGTATGCCAAAATGTTCAGAAACATTTGAAACGTAAAGATATGCAAAAATTTTCATTTTCGATTTTTTGCGATTACTATAACTTACCCTACGAAAAGTTAATAATATAGATTTGTATTTTCAATTATCAATAAAAAACTAAAACAATTTTATATATTGTGGAGCTTAAATTTATTAATTTATACGTTTCGGAAAATAATTCTTCATTGCATAGATAAACCAAATATAATTAATAAAATTAGACACTTTATAATAATTATACAAATTGAATTTTTAAATCATCAATTTAAAATAAAGTAGATAATACATATGTTAATATAATTAATAAAAACAAACTACATATATGTATATACATTGGAAGTGCATAAAAATGACAATATGTAGCTATTTGTACTATTTGTCCATACAATAATACGCATTAAGAATAAATATTTTATCAAAAAATGTTGGCTGTTGCAATTTTTTTTATAAATTTTAATAAAAAAATGTTTCAATTTTGTGTTTTTTTTCCTTCCGGAATGATTGTCTGAGTGACGACACATATTAAATGTCGAAACGTTTAAATAAAAAGTAACAAGTCGTGTATGGCATGTGCCTTAAGGCATATTGATGGAACTTCCCTTACCAAAAATTGAATTTTATAAAAAAGAATATTTTTTTTAACTTTTAAAAATTAATCAGCTGGAATCGAATGTTTTTTTGAATCATTCAAATCGGTTGAACCGTGTTCCCAAAATCGTCGACAAAAATTTGTATCCGAACACATACACACACACACATATACATACATCCATTTTTTTAAGGTATGCCCAAATGTTCAGAAACCTCTGAAACGTAAAGATATATAAAATTTTTCATTTTCGATTTTCGGCCCATTAAATAATTATATTTATACCCAGATGAGGATCATGGTATAAGATGTATATTATTAAATATTTTTTATAGAAATATAGAGTGTAAAATTTATCTTTAAAATTTGATTCCCCCTTCGTGTGTAAAATAAGCTTTCAATTTTGGTTTCAAATGATCCGGACTGACTTGAAACGTCGAGAAAACAAAATTAGCAAGTTTGATTTTCTAGCGAAAACTTTTATAATACTATTTAATAAATGAACCAAAATGATTAATAATATTGATAATTAATAAATAAATAAAAAAATATGCGTCATCAATGTCAAAACTGACGTTTCTACTTACATGAAAATCAACTCTCCATCTACATTTTCAAAACAATTTATACTTTATTCAAATAATTATTTTTTTGACTAAATAATTTACTAGTTGAGGTGAAAATTTAGTTTCAAGAAATAATGTTGCAAGATCTCAAGTCATCGATCATAAACTATCAATTTTTATTAGAAAACAACTGAATTATTGTGACTGTTTAATATCATACTATATAAAATTTTGTAAAAAATGATCCATAAAATTTGGTAAAAGCCGTTTAAATAAAAAATCCATATTTAAATTTAAAACGAAGATCATAATATTTTGTATTTTTTATTAATTAATTAATTTTATTTAAAGCCCCTCTCAGATCACAATATTGAACATTTAAAGCATCCTGATGAATTTCTTCGTATGAGAGTTCATTAACTTTTTTTCCTCATCACAAATTTACTTTTGATACTTAATACATAATTAAACAAGTTTTAAAATACATAAGCGTTTATTATTAATAAATCAAGGGTTATTATTAAATTATGTTAACAATATATATCACATAACGCTATTATATAGAAACACATATCATTGCGTTTTATAATACAATATTTAAATGAAAACTTTAAAATATTTTAAAATTAACCCCCATAATGACTTTGTAATATTTAGCTAAATTATGAGTATTAATTTTTTATTTTTAACGACTTCAGCGCAACATTAACAATAAAATTGGTTATTTTTATATATAAGCCAAATAAAATAATTTAACGTTAATTAAAGCAAATTATAATATTTATATTATTCATTATTTTAATTATTAATAAGTCCCTTATTAATAAATACATTTAGTTATAACATTGACCTACAATAACAAAAAATATACTGCATCAAGCTATTAAAGATATAAATATATTAATAATGATATTATTTATTATTTATTCAATTATGATTTTAGTAATACTTTCATGATAATTTATTCATTTTTTGTTGAGTGATTAGTATCTACTATAAATAAAGCAAACACTAATTTGTTTAATAATGTAGGAGACGTTTGAGAATTATTGATATTATGATCACATAATTAAAAAATTGTTTATAGTCATTGTAAGAAATTTCTATATCATTTCAACTAGCTTATACCAAAATAAAATTATTAAGTATGAAAATTTCAGCGTGTAATTATTTATCCTTTTGGTATAACCCTATAAATAGGCCTATAAATGTACAAATATAGGTTTATAAATTGATTTATTAAGATAAATATGATATTCGTTTGTTTAATGAAAAAATCGCTCTATTAAAAATACTTTTCTATTCGAAATCGATTAAGAGACTCTAACATTTGTTAATTTTTAGTTAAGTGATGAAATGTTTTAACTAAATTGAGGTAAGAGTTATTCTAATCTTATTTCTAATTTTTGATTGCAAAAGTTTTAAGTCGTACAAAGTTTGTATTATTTTCAAGATAAACATCAAAACCCCAAAAAGACTATATCATGAATATTTTCATAAAAGAATCACATAGCTTACTATTTTATCCATTCGAAAAAAATATTTTCTTACCACTTTCTTACAAATCATGAAAAAATCGTATGACTCGAATCCTCTTCTTACAAATCATGAAAAAACTATATTCCTAGAATCCTCATATTAAATAAATCACTTTATATAAATGTTAATAAATAGAAAATGATAAATACTAGCGACGAAGAGTAGGTTTTATTTATTTTCTAGGTTTATTGTCCAGGAAAACTCACTTCACGTGCAGGTTGAGCATTCTCCACAATCCAGGCTGATCCGCTTTTGGCGTTTCTGAGAACATGCAGCAGGGCTTTGCCTACATCTTCTGGTCTGGTTTGTAAAAATAAAATCCATATAGCCCAAAATTATAAAAATATTTATAAACACTATCACATAAACTTAGTAAATGTATAAATTTCCCAGTAAACACCATGTGGTTTGAGCAGCGGCAGCAACCTGAAATCCATAAGCGTGCCACAACGCTGTGACACCCATGTGGAATCAATGTGGATTTCAAATTGCTACCGCCACTCGGTGTTTACTACTCGGTTATTCTACATCTCGTATGTAATGTTTAATTTGAAAATAATTTTTTTTTAATTTATATTAAATTTCTTTTTCATTGAACTTACTTCTGTTGAATCTGATTTGCGATATCAGCCTTCCATGCTGCTTCATAATCAGCAGACATCAGTTGTTTCTTAATATCACCTACCAGAGCGGTCGAAGTCCATCCTGGACACAGGGCTATCACTCGAACTCCTGTTCTTTCTACATGATATGCAGCCTAGAAAATAGAAAAAAATCAATTTAATATATTTGAATCCTTATGCTACTAATAGTGCTGTTAAACTAAAATGGTAATCAATGGTAAATTTATTTAATGTTATTTCATTGCAAAGCACATGTAAAGACAATGCACTAAATCTGGTTTTTGAGCGATTTAACTAAAAGTATGTGTTCTTAGGCCAAAAATAACAGGTGTATTGTAAATGGCATTTTGCCTTACGGCAAAATTGCCCAAAAATTCCGCGTTGCCAACCGACATTCAATCTTTCTTCAAGAAACCTTTGTAAATTCGAATATATATACATATATATATATATATATATATATATATATACTAGATGACCCGACAGACTATACCCACGTCTACAATTTAAAAGTTCCTAATTTTTTATTACCCTATCCTATACTTTTTAGTATCCTATTTGATGTCCTGCCTTTGTGATTCATTTATGGTTTTAGTATAAGCAGTATAAGAAATTCAGAAAAAATAATATATTTGCGGTAAAAAAACAATATCACACTTGATTTTACCACACAACATAATTGCTTCAATAATTTAGTCTATAATT